CAGTTCATGCTGTCTGAGTTATTTTTAATAAGATTTTAATTAGGGGCTCATGGTTCCAGAAGGTTAAAATACATAACCATCATGGCATGGAACCTGGCAGTGTGAGGGCGAATACGGCCCTGGAGCAATGACTGAGAACTTGCATCTGACCCACAAGCAAGAGGAGATAGAAGAGAGAGCTAACAGGGAATGACATGGGCTTTTGAAACCTCAAAGTCCCTTCTAGTCACACCCCTTCTCCAGCAAGGCCACACCTCCCAATCCTTCCCAAACAATTCCACCAACTGCAGGCCTGATATTCAAATATATGAGCCTATGGGGGCCATTTTCATTCAAAATACCACATATGCCAATATAAATGGGGGGACTCACAGGGCCATACTCCTAGATCCGTGCTTCTCAGCATGTGGGTTGCAACCCCTTTAGGGGTCAACCAACCCTTTCACAGGAGTCGGATATCAGCTATCCTGCATATCTGGTATTTATACTATGATTCGTAACAGTAGCAAAATTACAATTATGAAGTATCAACGAAAATTTTATGTTGGGGGGGTCACATGCATTAAAGGGCCACAGCATTAGGAAGGTTGCCCTAGAGCTACAGGCAATTAATGGCTACTAAGAGAGGGAAAATCAGTTCTTCATGCATTAGCCCTCTGATAATTTATCCAGGCTCAAGCAGTCAGCCCTGAACAGATACAAATAACACTAAATGTGCTTATATATGTATAAGCAATAATAAGTAGAGAATAGGTCATGAATTTGTGAGGGTGGGGACGTGGGAATGGTTGCAGGAAGAGGATGGATGAAGTAATTAACAGCACTCATGTATGGAATTCTGCAGGTGGCCGTGTCAGAGGAGCACCAGGTGGCGATTGAAGTTCCAAGGTGTCAGCTCACCAGGAGGCAAATTCCTGATGGGTAAATCTCAGATAGGCAAGGCTCAGAGACCACAGACCCCAGAACATCTTTTGCTTCTGCTGTGCCTTTGCGTGTTTGTCCCTGCCATCTTTCTCTGGTGTCTTCAGGGTGTGGGGATATCCCCACTGCCTGAAATATAGTGTGTTTATCTCATGGAAATATCCCATTCTGCTGGGCATTTTACCTGTGGATAATTATGAAGATGATTTTTTTCCTAATCTGTAGTCTAATTGATAATAATAATGTTAGTTTAAATAAAGTTTTGAAGATTAAAAATATATACAAGGGATTGCCACACAGCTAGGGCCTATGAGTTTCACCTAAGGAGCTGCATAGATCACAGTTGAGGTTAATGATTAAGGAAAACAATTGAGTCCCAGGAGCCAGGCTGGCTCAAATCCTTTTAATCTTAATGTAGGGACATGTGTTCATGGGTTTTGGGGGTGCATCATAGCTGAAACAAAGCCTTAGAATGATCTCAGGTTAGGCCAAGATATTTTGATGATAGCTTTGAGGTTAGGAATCAAAAGGCAAAGCTGCCCAATTATTACTGGCTGAGATACTTTCCTTGTGAGGATTGGTTGGTGATCAAAGATAATGATTAATTCCTTATATCCATATCTGCCCTCAGTCTCCAGATATAAAAAAAACTACTGATGAGTGGGTATGCACCCTAAAGATTTAAAGTAGAGCTGACTGTTTTTCATGTATAAAAGTTTAGGTTTGTGATTCCCTTAAGATTATTTATAAGATTACCTTTCAAGATAAATAATAAAATGATTGGTTTTTTTCTTTGCAACCACAAAATGCAGCCTGCCGGTAAAAGAACTGGCTGAGAAAAATACCTTGCTTACACTCTGCTAATCTATAACGAGTTGCTTGGGTGTGAATGTATGTGTGGTCTTGGGAATAACTTGCTTTTCACCTGTAATATGTAAAATGTTAAATCATGTAAGGGAAATGAAAAACATGTTGTTGTTGTTGTTTTTTACTTGTAGTTATTGTAATCATTCACTTTAAAATAGAATGTAACCACATTGTAAATTCTATGCTGCCTAAAAGATTTTATTGGGATATATAAACTATAGAGGAAAAATAGAGAGAGAGACTACAGAAGAATAAAGATAGAGTTAAAAGGTAAACATTGAGAATGAGGGAAGGAAATCACCAGGAAAATAAAGACTAGAGATTACAGAAAGAGCAGAAGAAAAGACTGTCAAGAGAGTGTGAGTGTCTTTTCTCTGAATCCCCTCAGATAAAAAAAGTCATAGTATGCCGACTCCATGGATTTCCCTTTGAGCCCATGCTGCTGGAGGCTGGATCCCCAGACAGTGAAACAATTCCTTTTTAAAAATATTTAAAATATAGGAAAAAATCTTTAAAAAGAATAACCTGGTGATTGTAATTAGTCTAAAGAGACACGGAAGTATGGGACCTCTTCAAGGAAGAGAGACTCACTTTATTTTTTTTGTCTTTTCTTTTTTATTGTTTGACAGTTTCACACACCTCTAACTCCCCTTCTCACTCCTCTTCCTCTCTGGCTGGAACCCTTCCCAATTACTCCTTCTCCCTACACTCACACCTTCCTCTTGTGTGTGAGGCACAGGGTTGGGTGAGTTTCTTGTCCAAATGTGGGTGGGAGGTTATCCATAGGAGCAGGGGCAGTTAGCAGCTGAAATGGCCACATTGTCCAACTGCCTCCTACATACTCATGTTTACACCACAGATTACTGTTACTTTGAGTTTTCGTTAGTGCATTACTGTTCGCATTTTAAAGCACATGTGTTGATTTCCTATATATGAAATGTAGGAATGAACCTAACCAGAGGCGGCTGCCTTCATCCAGGTAGGAGGGCTTGGGAGCCTGGGGAATAGTGTAGGCTCTGGGGATTGACCGTTTTTAGCAGCAGGAAACAGGTGGTAGAAAGAGGTGTGGAAATGGTGAAGGAGATCACAGAGGGGTCAGGCTTTATTGACAACTGGATTTCTACATAGACAGGCTTATGGTTTGTACATTAAAATGGATAAAATTAACTATACAAAGCTCCTAATACATAAAATTATTTCAACTCACCTTGTGCTTTAGTTTATATGATTTAATTAATGTGCCCAACGTGTGTAAAGTTGCATAGTACCACTTCATTCAAAAGTACCAACATTACGTGGACACACACAAAACGCATACACTCCACTGACACACTTAATCAAGCGTCAATATTCTATGTTTAATCTAGAAAACCATTAACAAACTTGCAAAGCCACTGCTGCCTTTAAAAAATGGTGGAGGAAACGACAGGTTAAAAAGTTGTTGGTTGAAAATTCTCAGCTCAGATGCAGGAAACACTAGCAAATCAAATTTCAGAGAAAACTAGAACAGTATTTTTCTTTAAAGATAAGTGTGTGTGTGTGTGTGTGTGTGTGTTGTGTGTTGTATACACAGAAGAAAGAGTGAGACCCTGGAGTTGGTGCTGCAGGCCACTGTGAGCCACCTGATGTGGGTGCTGGGAACCAGACTCCAGACCTCTGGAAGAGGAGCAAGCAATCTTAACTGCTGATCCTTCTCCCCAGCCCCCAGTAGGTTTTCTTATGGTCAGACTGAACCACCAACAGTACAAATATCATAATTGTAAACCTAAAAAGTCAATTAAGTGACTTTCTTGCCAATAGTACAGCTCTTAAATATCGGACAATTTGTATAAATGAATTAAAAAGTGATACCTTTATGATTCAAAATGAAAACACCAATAGAGTGAACTCCAAATATTTAAGAAAACTGAGTCCTTAGCCAAGCGAAAAGGTCAGCATATCTGCATTAATGTTCCTGCAAGCACAAAGGGGACACAGTTTGTCTCCTGAAAAAGGTCAATGTGAGTCACAGTCCAGATTGCCATGAACAAACAGCGAAAAGGGGAGCTCTTCAGCGTTCCAAGAACTCTGTCCCCTCAGTGATAAGGGAGTTGAAGGAGCCCTTAATTAAAACGAGTTAGGTCAGCATGACATTACATGCCTTGACCTGATGACTAGAATGAAGAAAGAAGAAAATTTGTTGGAAGGTTTCTGTCCTTCCTTTCTACCTGTGTGATAAATCACTGACACCTGTTTTATCCTGTTTTCCTGGGAGATTATTAGTAACGATTTAAACGTGGAAATAAAATATCAAACCGTAAAAATGCTAACATTTTAAATGAGATTCGGGTTTAAATGGGACCATTTTCCTCCTACTAGGTTGCCTTGTGTGGCCTCCATATGAGGGTTTTGCCTAGTTATGCATCTTGCTATGCTGTGCTCAGTTGTTATCCCTGGGAGGCCTGCTCTTTTCTGAAGGGAAATGGAGGAGCAGCAGATCTGGGGGAGACAGGAGGTAAGAGGGTACTGGAAGGAGTGGGGGGAAGGGAAACTACAATTAGGACGTAATATATGAGAGAAGAATTTTAAAAACAAAAAATGATTTATCACTACCAATTTATTTACTGCAAGTTTGAATTTTAAGAGGTAATAATTTGAACAATAGAAAATGGCAAAAGATTATTCAACCCTTCCATTAATGCATAACTAATACAAATCAACTGAAAAGTAAATACCTTTTTTGGAGGGGTATGGGGGTTTCAAGACAGGTTTCCCTGTGACTTTGGAGGCTGTCCTGGAACTAGCTCTTGTAGACCAGGCTGGTCTCGAACTCACAGAGATCCACCTGCCTCGGCCTCCCGAGTGCTGGGACTAAAGGCATGTGCCACCATCGCCTGGCCAAAAAGTGAATATCTTAGAATACAGTCAAGAAAGCAAAGATAAAAACTGATTCCCATAGAACGATGATCATTCCACCAAAACACCATACAAAATCTATCTTAAGCATATGGGCTCAGGATGGTGCTTCAGAGAAAGACACACACACACACACACACACACACACACACACATCCAGAGAGAGAGAGGACACAAACTACACAGTTGAATTAAATTTAAGCAAAATAATAAAAACATCCTCATGGTTGGCAGTGCCCTTTGATCCAGTGTGTTCTCCATTCTATGATACATAGACACTTTCCCCTGGTCTGATAGTTTCATCTTTGCCATCTCCATCATAAGGTCCTCTTCGTAGGCTTCCAACTGAATGTTACTCCAGATAACTTACAAATCCTACTTGCCCCAAAGTGACAAGGAAAATCATTCCAGGCCCATTTATCTTTAACATTAACAAGAACAACACAGTCTTCTTTCTTATAGTTGTTGGGTTCACCCTTATGCCAGAATCTGAAAGAGAACAATGAGATAGAGATTATACAATCTGGAGAAATAGATCAAATAATAGAGCAAGTGACAAAACAGAGCAGCAACCTGCACAACAAGAGTCACCAGGCATATGTAGCTATTGGACATTTGAAATATGACTTCCAACCCTGGTAGTGGTGGTGCACGCCTTTAATCCCAGCACTCCAGAGGCAGAGGCAGGCGGATCTCTGAGTTTGAGGTCAGCATGATCTACAGAGTGAGTTCTAGGACAGCCAGGGATACACAGGAAATCCTGTCTCAAAAACCAAAACCAAAACCAACCAACAAACAAACAAACAAAACAAACAAAAACCTCAGCATGGCACTGGCCTGGCATAAAAGCAGACTAAGGGATCAATGGCTTGGAATTAAGGAGCCATAAGTAAGTCAGCATTTCTACATCTACCTGGTTTTTTACAGTGAAGCCAACAATGAAGATGGGAGGGAAGAGAATCTTTGACAAATGGAGCTGGCAGAACTGGATAACTAACTGCAAAACAATGAAACCGAATCCTTCTCGCCTCACAAAACTCAACTCTCGATGAGCCAAGGACCTCAGGTAAACCCTAATGCCCTGGATCTGATAGAGGAAAAAGTAGGGATGCTCTCGAAGTTATGGGCACAGGACTTTCTGAACAGGACCCTAGTGGGAAAGGGATTTAAGATCAATACTAATAAATGGGACCTCATGGAAATAGAGAGGCTCTGTAAACCACACGACACCACCATTCAAGCAGGGAGGCAGCCTGCAGGGGAAGAGGATATACATTTGATAGAGGGTTAGTATCTAGAATATACAAAGAACTGGAAGGGAAATAGGTAAACCCCAGGATAACAAATGGAAATGGAGTACTCTCAAAAGACAAAGTACAAATGGCAGAGGAATGTCTTTAAAATGCCCAACATTCTTTCCCAACTGGAAACGCAGGTTAAAACTGCTCTGAGATTTTATCCTGCCCCAGTCAGAATCCCTAAGATCCAAATTAGCAAATGAAGGCAAATGTTGGCATACATGCAGAGAAAAGAGAATACTCATTCATTGCTAGTAGGGGGACAAACTGGCACAGCCACTATGGAAATCCATGTGAAGCACCCTCAAAAATCTAAAAGTACATCCAATACACAATCCAGCTATACCGTTCTTGGTCATATATCCAAATGACTCTGTATCCTCCTGTAGATCTAGATACCTGCCAGGCCATCATCACTGGTTCTCTATTCACAATAGGCAAGTAAAGGAAATAGCCTAGATATTCATCAGTTGATGAATGGATAACGAAAATATGGCATATTTACACAGTGAAATATTATTCAGCTGTTAACAAAAATTAAATTATGAAATTTACAGGATGGAGTTAGAAACAATCATCCTGAGTGAAATAACCCAGACACACAGGCATGTAGTTAGACAGACAGACAGGTTTAAAATGAAGTTACCTGATAAGTTACCCCTATTAGACACCTCAGGCTAACAAATGGTTTACCTCCTTTGGATTTGTTGGCTGATGAGGTCCAAAGACTTCAAAATATTACAGCTTATTTATTACCAGTGTTAGTGGTTACCCTCCAGAACGTGACAGTGTGACCCTGTTGCTAAAGATGACACAGACTTGAGCCACAGAAATAAAGTAGATGCTATCTGGAAGCTCCATGCCTACTGACGAGCTTTTATGGTGCCGGAAGGTGCTGTGAATGCTACAGGGGCGGGGGAAGGGTGTGTGTGTGTGTGTGTGTGTGTGTGTGTGTGTGTGTGTGTCATCAGTCTTACTCAGCTGTGCAATGGTCAGCTGCAACGGCTGGCGAGACATAACCACTGGTGCAGTAGTTACATGAACATCATGGGAGCAACCAACTTTCTTATTGGATTTGAGTCCTGCACCACAGTATGAAGCCCACATCTGACACCAGTGTCAGCCCAAGAACTTGTGGTATAGGTCCTAGGGGAGAACTTATACTATTAGTCTGCTAAATGGACACAGTACTAAAACAACTCCTAATGGCATATCACTATACGAATAGATTAACACATGCTTCTATCTTCATCAGAGATGCTTCTGTTTATAGCAGATAAAGATAAACAGAGACCCGTAGCAGGTTCTAAACGCTCAGCTCTACATGGGACATCTGAACCACCTCCCCTCCTCCTGAGGTTCAGGGATCTTGATGGATGAAGTGTTAGAGCCGGAGGAGACGGGTGACAACAAGGAAACAGTGTCCTCCAGACACAGCAAGGCAGCTGCACACATGAGCTCACACTGACTGTGGAAACATTGCAAGCGCAAGGCATATCAGACCCCAGCATGGAGAATGAAGGGCAGCACAAGTTCCCATTGCCAGTCTTGGGGACTGATAACTGCTGGGAGGGGGGGAGAGTCAGCTTTGAGAGTGTGGCCCCTGGCAGGCCTTCCACCACGCGTACAAGAATATCTGGACAACACAAAATGGGTGTAAAAAAATAAGACGACACAAAGTTGGGTGTAAAAAAATAAGACAAACAAGCATGAACAGAACACATTGTTTGAAATTCTTAAATAAAAGACCTGATTTTAAAAGAGAAAGAAATGTGGTCTCTCTCTGTAGGGGAAGCTGTAGCCACGCCTTCTTAGGGGCTGGCTACAAGAGTACCTGAGGGCTTGTGAGGGCGTGGTCAGAGTGAGTAGGGGGACTGCGTTTTCGGTTTCGGTTTCTCTTTGCTGCTTGCTGTACAGACTACCACCGGCTGGCTGGTCCGCTCTGTAAGTAAGGCTTTTCCCTATTAAATACCCTTATATTTCTACCTGACTCCGTATTGGTAATTTACTACTATATCTGGTTGTCAGAAGCGGGATATTGGAAACCCACACCCCATTTGGGACAGGCTGTGGGTTCCATCGGGCCCGCCGCCT